TTCTCAATGTTCCGCCGCTGAACTGGTATACGGCACGACATTGCGTCTGCCTGGGGTATTCTTCACACCACGGAGCAGTAATAACTTCAAGTAACCAGACTAAGTCCAACGATTGTCTGAATTTATGCTCACACTGCCTCCGGTGTCAACTCAAGTACAACATCAACAGATCGCTCTCCTTCGAGAGTTAACTTCCTGTTCGCATGTTTTCATACGAATCGATTCCGTACTCACACCTTTGCAACAGCCTTACGAAGGACCTTTCACGTGATTAATCCTCATCAAAAGACTTTCAAGGATGGTCGAGATGGCCGCGTCGAAATCGTCAGCAATGATCGTCCCAAGTCAGCATACATCAATGAGAGTTCCCTGCCTGCTAATCCGAGACCCAGTGTTAGACCGACCAAATCTATTAGCGGGATCCATACATCTACTTTGGACCCCACACTAGATACATCAGAAACATTCTCACAGATAAGCAGGCTACGCCGCGCTCGACTTCGGATGAGATTGCAGACTAACGAGTTACGCACGAAACTACCATCTTGCGTTCTGGTCGCCGCGTACACCTACCTGTACGCTTTCTGGAATGACCAGTTAGGAAATAACGGATACGCGACAGGATACTACCCTCATATATGCTACACTTTTCTACATCTTTCCTGAGACAATGTCTACGACCATCACCCAGTTGGTACCGTCGACTTCAGTCAATCTTGGTGAAGGCTGGCCTGATCACCAACACTATTGTCGATGCACTCAGTTGATGTTCTGGTTTCGAATGTATCTGGCACACGTATGGCTTCAAATTTGGTCATTCTGGTCGTTTCTGGCTACCTCGCTCAATCTGGTACTGTCTTACGTGTGCAGCTTTTTCTGGTCCGAACCACTGAGAACACAATATTCAGATTCTGGATACGAGCCATGCCAAAGTGACACTCCAACCCGAGCAAAAAACCTGGCACGTTAATTCTGGTACAGTTCAACGTAGAAGAAGTTCGATGGCAACTCAAGCTTCACTGATCGCTCTCTATCTGTCAACCCTTCCGCCCTACTGTCGCCCGTTGACCGACCAGTCCTCTCTACGCAAAGCCACTACCTATCGAAAGTGTAAACCCTTTCTAGGGTGGCTGGTAATGGAGTGGTTTACTTTTACGTCGAGAACACATATGGTGGAATCGAAACAATTATTAGTGTGATCAATTCTAACAATAATTGTTCTATTTTACTCCTCTTGTTTAATTGTACTGAAGACCGCAAGTCGCACGCCATCCCGCGTTTCTCCTCAGTCGTTGTTAGCGGCTTATTTATTCCGTTCTTGATATTATTTCGATATCACGGGACCAAGAATCAACACACCTCTTCATTCAGCTACTGTCTACTTTCTGATTTCTGAATCCATCGGCATTTAACTTGGTAATCTCTCGAATAATAATAGTTTTTATCTCGCTATAAAGTCAACAGTCGGTCACAACTGCTCACTGTTTATTACTCGTTATCGATGTTTGTAGCTAATTATGAACGAAGATAGTGATTTTCGTACTCGTGTGGGAATCGTTAAACTTGAATGCGAACGTTTTCGGTTAAAGCCTGAAGATCAGTTTAACGCCCTCATTCTCATTAGCAGCTTCCAATTCCAAACGTTCAGTGACACAAGAACACGGGTACAGTGATCAACGCCTGATTAATCCTCAACGAGCTATGACTATGGTTCAGTGTGGTGGATCCAGTTAGTCTGACATACGTGTAGCTCAACGGTCACCTGATCAGAATTAATGTGGCCCTGCTTTACCCAGTCCATCACACTACAGCGAAGACGAATCCCCCTGCCCCTTACTGACCTTGTGGAGCACGGCACTATGTGCGAGATTGCCCATTCACGCAACATAAATGTAGGAAGTGTAAGGTAATCGGTCATAAAGATAGTTTTTGTCCAACGAGGAAACCAAACCGATCCAGACGTACCAAAAAGACTTCCTAGATCCTGTACCGCGTGTCAAAGCTCACTCCTAGGTGAGATGAGATTCATTGCTCTTAATATTAAACAGTATGTAGTGCTTCCAAATATATCCCAGTTCGCTCACATTTAATTTGGTTCGGCCCTTTTGATTAGATTATTTAACCAAGCCATTTGTACTGCACCAATTTATATGTGCCATTCGTTCTTATTATTGTCTGGTTTGTATTAGGTCACATGACGTGTCCCACTTGTCATCTGACCTTGTCAACTATTCGACGATTTTATTCGTGTGTGCCTATTTCGTTTGTCGCATGTTTGTATTGTATTTGTCCGATTAAATATTCTTAGTCACGCTATATCTCTTGGAGTTGGCTCATTAGCCTTCTCCGAATTGCTTCTCCGCTTCGCTTTGTTGTGTGTCCCAAATGAACGTATTCATCACTACGAGTTCACCTTCTGAATTATAAACCGTCAGACGCTAGTTAGTAACGATTGTCTGGACGAGCTAATTACCGAGCTTAAGAACACACACTAAATCGGCACACTACAAGCCTTCGTCTAGATTGAAAACAGATACAGCATCAGGCGTCACGGTTCTCTCACACGGGGTTTGGATCAAGATAAGCAGCTCAAGCTCTCGACTGAAACCTGTGGCTAAGCCTGTTTTCCGTCCAAGAATACCCGCGCCTTTTGCAATATTAACAAAATCACCTCTAGGGTACATGGATGTCTAGATAACAGCTTGTATTAAGTGCGTTCCAATCCACCTTTCCCAACAAATTCACCATTGATCTAAGCAAAACGCCCAAGAAATCTACTGTGCACCTTCCCTATTTGTACTTTCCTATTGAAAATGTGGCTGTATCATGATGTTTCTGTCAGTGACATGGTGTAAATGTGCTATCAGAAACTGAATCTTATGCTTAATTCAACTAAGATAAATTTTGCAGTTATTATGAAGACATTTGTGGCAATTTGATCTGGCCTTTAAACTGCCATGCCTCTTGTAACGTAGTGTTATTTGAGAATAAATATTATTATTATTATTGTACATTTACAATTCTTGTTTCAACCAGTTTCCAGACGCGTTAGAAAAAGCCATTACACATGCATCCCGCACACTAACCCTGGTAGAGAAGAAACACAACCAGATAGAGAAGGAGGCTCTCGCCCTTGTGTTTGCTGTACGCCTCATCAATGAACAAGTGGCGGCTAAGCAAAACATGGTATTCAGAAGAAGACTACGCGGAATGTTATCTAATAACCGCAATACGGGCACTGCTGGTGTCTGCAACAGATATGCGAATGGCTTCCGGGGACGACCCCATCATCAAGATGACGATGAGATATGTCACCAACGTTGACCGTCTAAAACGTTTGATGGTTACATGAAACGGTCGTATCAGCGGCGGGATTCACTATGCATTGTAAACGACTGCTTGATGTTTAAGGAAAGAGTAGTTGTTCCAGAATCCCTTTGCGCAAAAGTGCTGAGACAGTCATTTAGGGGTTAGACGAATGAAATCCATAGCCGAAAGTTATGCATAATGGCCCCTAATAGATCAACATATCACAGAGTTTGTTAGAAAATATATGCAGTATTAGTAAGCCGTAAAAGTGAATGTCAAATTTCCGTCAATTTCATGGCCACAACCTGATCATCCTTGGTCCAGGATAAACGTCGACTTCGCGGGCCCAATCAATGGAACTATTTATTTAGTTATGGTCGACGCCCTTTCAAAATGGCCAGAAATCAGCCCTGTAATGCCGTTCATGACAACTAAAACAATACAGCTAACCACTCAAATTTTCTCCCAAAATGGTATACCAGACGTGATCGTATCTTACAATGGGTCTCAATTTTACCACTAGCCAGTTCAAAACTTTCTAATAACGGCTAGCCACCTAACACTTATGGTCGTCACCACCACCACCCGCAGTCGAATGAGCAAGCTGAAACGTTTAAAAGAGCATTAGTGAAATCAAAAGGAGAGGGGACACCAGCTGAAGTGTTACAAAATTTCTTGTATGTTTATCGAAACAATACCAAATGAGTGGTTACCGGAGCAAAAGTCCCCAACAGAAATCCCGATGGGAAGAAGACTAAAAACGACCCACAGCCTGATGCATCTGATTAATGCATCAACACTAGTGGAGACAAAGTCGGAAAGGAGATCCGCGTACTAAGTGGGATGTCCTGTGTTTGCCTGTAGTCCATAGGCAGAAGCACGAGTGGTCAGAGGAGTTAGGCGTGTTATGTACGAAGTAGAGGTAGGAGGCGATAGGTGGTCACGCCATCGGATTCAGATATCCAAACGGCTAGGCCCAGATCACCCATCAACAGGAATAAATATTTAATGAATACTAATTTTTTCAGTAGCTAATCTAATCACATAATAAAAAAGCCGTTACTATAAAAATGCTCCATACATATAGCTTTAGGAATTAATTAGCTTAAAGGGCAATATTATCGGTTCAAAACTGTGAATGTGTGAATACTTTTAATCAGATACTATTTTTCCTCAATTTAAATGATAAATGCCCAATCTAAACTTCATACTTAGACAAACATTTCGCAATAAAACAACAACTTATTGATATACATGTTTTGACTGGATTTCTTTATTAGGTAGGCTATCAAACATGTATCTACGTGTAAGTGAACAATCAAAATAATGGAACAACTAACAATAAAATTCGTGTGTTTTTTTAACAAGAAGTATGTTTTCTGAACACTAAAGTTTTCACCGATAAAATTGCCTGTCCTGAAGCTTAACTAGTAAACTATTGGAGATAAATTGTTAGCAATTTTAAAATATTTGAGAACCACTGAAGCGTAAGTCAAAACCTTCGAAACCTTCTTATACTTACTTGTTAACAAACATATTACATATAAATTGGGGGACATGAGACATTGAATATGTGAGAAAAGACCTATTATTATTGTTCCTAAAAAGTTTCACTTATTCATTCCAATACATAAACAAAGTTAAAAAAATATCTCCAATGAATAGGCAAAAAGAAAGAGAACCCATTCATATGAAGTGTTAGATAAATTTATTTTAACAGATTATAGATATAGTAGTACATTATATGTGGAAAAATATTTAAGAAAAAAATTAATGACGTCTTTTGTGTCGCAATACACAATTTACCAGCATTTCATTAGCCGCAAACCTTTCATGATTTTTGAAAACCAATAAAATTATGTCTGGCATGTAAATGCTCATTTGAATTATATATACATATATATACGTTCAAATAAACACAATGTGTTCAATTCTCAATTGTGTTCGTGTTTTTACAAGCATTTCACATATACCTACACTTATACACAGAACACAAAACAATTGATGTTTACTGATCGAATAAGTTTATTTGTATTTTCACATTAAATAAACTTAAACATTACTCTTAAAATGAGCACTTATTAAATTTCTAAAATAATATACATTGAGTTTTTAGATGGTATTCTAATACACAAATTAAACAGAACATCATAAAAGCAGATATATATATATGTTTTTGTTGTTTCAATATTATTAAATTGCAAAATGCACATATAGCTGACCACCAATAGTTCCAAATAAACCTACAGCTAAATAACTCATAAAACCAGACCAACCAAATCCAAAAATCCAATAAATTGTGATACCATAAAATAATATTGCATATGGTAAAAAATCGAACAGATGAAATTGTTCAAGTTCTAAGCATTGTTTAGACATGTCCTTAGTGAAACAATCGAGAAAATTCTGTTTAATTGTTGACAAATCATTTGGCAGACATTGTATACTTTTACTATTGCCAGTAGTATGCTTATTATTAGCTGTATTCAAATCACAATTGCTCACTGGTGTTAACGGCTCAATGCGTTGATGATTGGTATGATTGTGATTTTGTATTGTTTCAGATGATTTATAGAATCGTGTTTGTATATTATCAATAAAACTTTGAATAAAATATACAGAAAAAAAAAGAAACTTATTTCTATGATGTATAAATCAATTATAATAAAGGAAGATTATTTACAAATAATGATTTTAGCTGGATTGTCATTGAAAACCAAGAGCTACCTATTGCCTAACTGTTCTACATTTAGTTCGATAAACTTTGGTATTGTATTTGCTCAAAACATGTGTCAGACATGTTACATTTAGATCATCAATATGGAATTCAGTTGCTCATATTTTCAACTTCACTTCAATTTGTAATAATAATTGATATACTTTTACAGAATAGTCATTCAGTGCTTGTCACTTTTCAAGAGCTATTCGACAGTTATTTCGTAGTGTAAACCACGAATTGAACAATCAACGCAAACCTCTCACATCCTTGTTAAAAGCAGCTTGTAGTGCGTGTACCAGTATGTTAAGCCTACAATGCTTGACCTAGATTTCGGACAAATAAGTTAACCTTTTCTTTCCGAGTTACTATTCCCATCTCTTTTGACCTTGTTTGTTATTCGCTCAGATCTTTGTTGTTTTTGCTTGAGTGTATCTGTACATGCTTACTTCGAATCAATGTAACCTCATGCTAAACTACTAAATAACCCTGTTCCTGGTGACGTATGGTATTCTGAGCCGAATATACCAACCCAAAAACTGCGTATTCGAAACAGGACGCGATGACGTTGAGCAGGATGATAATGAAATGAGCCCTTTAGTTCAAGATTTTGCGTTAAGTATCGGGACGTTTTTGTTTCGTCTACAGCCTTATTAACCGGTTTTTGACTTTAGTTAACTGTAAAATTATGCTACTTCATCTGCATCGTCTGCATCTTCGCTTATGTGATATAATCACAAAACTATGAATTCTTTCCTCAAGTATGTAGCGAAAATCATGCAGTAAAATTAAGAAGAAACAGTTGTTGAATAGATTTACAGATACTAACTGATTAAGAAGAGTACTGTCGAAATAAATTATCCATCACCAACTACCCAATCAAATCAGAAGAGGAGATTATTCACCTTGAGATGTTGCTTTTTTATAATAAATAGATATCAGTTAAAGAAATAGTGAAAAACTAAGAAGAACAAATGCTTTTATAATTGTCATTTCTTACACCAAATATCTACAAAACCACTTGGATGGTAATAACGAAATACATTTAAAAATATAAACTATTCAGTTTCCACATAATGGAACTTACCAGGAGACGTGAAATTTATGACGATGATTCTTAGCAATATCGTCACAGTACACTTTTAAAAACTTCGTCACTATGAAGAGAAATCTGTTTTTCAAACACTAAATTTTAGTGCTCCTCATCCCAACGGATCCAAGTCTATGGGGAAAGCCAGTTTGAACTATAAATGATATCTACAAACCTTTACAACCAGCGTTTATTTATTTACATTTTTCTGTTCCCCTTCATATTTATGTAAAATTCATATCCAATTAACAAATTCATCAGTTGAAAAGTTAGACAGTTAGTGGAAAGCCATGGACCTAGTTTTAGTGCTATTGAGCACCCGTCAGTAAAGCGCACCTTAGATTTGGAAAGGTACCAGTTCTCTTTCAAGTGTCAGATAGCACTCAACTTAAGCTCAGCAGAGTTTCATCCCATCGACCTAACATCTGTACACGGTGCATACGATTTCAAACCACTGGAACTAGTGACCACATTGCAACCTATCCTGTCGAAATGGATCAGCATTCAAATGGCCAGATAGATCGGTATGAAATATTCCACCTCACAGTGATAAATCGACTGTAAGAAGTTATTGATTAAGTGAGAAAAAGTAAAATAATATGTTTTTAATTTTGTCAATTAAACTGTTCAACTTACTCATCTTTTATTCTATAACGCTCATATAGCCACTGACTGATTGATTGACTATCAGTCGGGATTTGTTTTATTGGTATACGTTTCAAATAGATATATAAACTTCTCCGTTTAACCAACCAATCTAATGAAATGTTTTGAAAAAAGAATCAATACATACAAACAGTACAATTTTTAACCAGAACCTGTTAAGTCATTTGAAAATTAATTCAACAGATCAGTTTTTGTTTAAACAAATTCATTTTCTATCTCAATAAACGAATAATAATCTATTTTAAAAGATTAATTAATTAATTTATTTGTTAAAACACTAATTTAATGAATTTGGATCATTAGACTGAATACATCATTTTTTCAAGCAGAATTTTATGAACTATGAGAAATATTTATCATTTAGGTACAAAGAATTGTAATCGTAGCTGTATTTAAGCAGTTGTTTGAATGTGGGCTATGTACCATGAATGATAATCAAAGATTTCGGCTAAAAAAATTTCCTTACAATAAAAATGAGAATAGGCAAGAGATAACTTAAGAATTAAGTATTATAAAGTTAGAATCTTGATAAAAATGAGGTTCGATATTTTGTTTTTTTGTGTACAAATCTCTGGTTTTAAACTGTGAGTAAAAATTGAATCTTTAACACAAATCAGGTTTAAATGTAAACAGTATGGCTTACTATTATGAATCTTGTAAACTGTGGCCAAGGAAATAGTTTGGATCGAATAGACTAAATTTGCTATATACTGCAGAAAAGAAAGCTCAAATGATTCACACTGAGCATTGTTAATCCATTCAAGAAGATACTCTCAAATTTAGCACAGAAGAGACGTCAACAAATGAATTACGCATCTAGAACTGATTAAACTCATACAATGATTGGATCAGTCATGATAACCTTTGTTTCATGTGCTAATTAATTCACCAAAATATGAAATAACTGAATAAGAGATTTCACTGATCCTATTGATTTCTATGCTTGAAGTGATTATAGCTTTCTGTTTTTCATTGTTCATTGAAATTTCTCTTTAATGAAACTTGCTTGTAACTAACACAATTTTACATCTACTGAGTTGATCAAAATTTTAATGGATATTAGTATGTAATAATCACACCTTATTAGAAATGGGTAGACAGTGTTTGTAATAAATAATTCCATATATAATTTCATATATATTGTTTGATTTAAAAAGCGCGTTTTCTGCTAACCAGTTCTATTGTATTTCGCAGTATATAGTGAGTGAATTATTTTTTTGGCCAGCTATTAATTATCAGTAAGATATTATAAGATATTTATTCACTAAATGAAAAACAAATTGAGATCACCAACATTTCCACCAGCCATGATTGGCGCTTCAGAGTGTTAAATGATATTGGCTAAGCTCTAGCTAATGAAGTGGCTCTCAGTCTAAACAATCAAAACTATGCCTCCATCGTTTTAAATCATATTCTTTAACACAGCAGATGTATTCCTACTCAGAGTGAATCAAAAATATGAATTTCGTTCTGTTAAGAAACTCGCCAGCTAAGTACAGATTTGTCCTTACTGACCAGTATTTAGAGATTATTAGTTACTAACTTTCATTAATCTATGATATATAATAGCATTTAAAATTTCTTTCTAATCCTCCTAAGTTATACACATCATTTCCATTCAAAAGATCTTTAAACAGTACTTACTTAATTTTTTGGACTTCATTCAAGACACTACTATTTTCATAACTTCAAACTTATTAATGGTAACGTGTGGGACAAAATACAATCAATTTTTCAGTTACTGGTTGTACTTAAAATAACTATTTATATTATGCTACTTAAGCATGTCATTTTTTCAAAACATATCACTATTTTTCTCCCATTTTTTTGTAATTTTACTACGTTTATTAGATAATAACAATAATAATAAGTGATATATGGCTCTTATTAACAGCGCACTTAATTATTTGATGAAAGATGAATATATTACTGTCTTAATAATAGTAATGTGTCGATTTCTTGTTTTTTTTTTATCATATAAAGATAGGGAGTTTACGATTCGACCGCCTAGTTATGTCATCATTTCAGTACTACTACTGAACTCATTTTTATATAACGAATGTATTCGATTTTAAAACCAGCTAACAAACGTCTTACGAACATGAAATCGCAGATAGAATGAGCCAAATGCATTGATTTCCCTTATATATACACCATCAGCAACACCCTACTGTGGGATAGAACAAACCAGATTGCAAAGGATGAGGAACTCAGGAAAAAGTGCTTGAGGTGGATAGGATGCATATTGAGGAAAACACCAAACTGCTTCTCAAAACAAGTCAAAGGAAAATAGGAAGACCAAAACAAACACATTACGCTGAGAATTGGAGACAGACATGAAAAGAAAGAACAGCGATTGGACGGAGCTTGAAGAGAGGACTCAGAGCAGAGTAGGTTGCAGAATGGTGGTCGGTAGCCTTTGCCCCACTGGGGTATAACAGCTGTAAGTAAGTAAGTAATACATGCGATAAGTTATTTCATTGTGCTGCCATTAAAAACTGTTAATAAGTCCTGTACAATTTTTGTAATAATACTAAGGGATTTGTGATATCAAGGAGGCCCAGATTTAGTTCGCGATCGACGTGTACTACTGAGCAGTCCCAAATTAAAAGGCATTAGATATAAACAGCTGCTAAACTTTTGACAGTAAACCAACTGAAGTTGATTAGTGATGAAAATTATACACCCTTTTATTCTTAAATAACTGAATAATATAATATCTACACAGACATAGAAGTTTGTTGTTCTAGCAATGATGCGCAACAAGTAGTTATTCTAATAGAGTCAAGTCGACACGAACACAATTTTTTTAAATAATCATCTAACTGACAATTTAAAATATAATAGTTTAATCGTTGCTCTGTACCGTACACATATAAAATCCAGGATACAAGCATCTATTTAAGTGAACACATTAATGCTTGACTAACTGATATCCCAATGATTTGTGAAGAGAATTCCTATGAAGATCTACAAAGTGCCACAAAATTTATATATATATGTATTAAATTGTTTAAAAAAATTCATTATTTCATAAAATATGACATAGTTGATTCAATATTTCAATGTTACGCTTAAATTTCTTAATTCCACTTAATTAATATTTTATGTATTAAATTATTCGATTTACTAGAGTAAGCAAATAACAGATTGATATGATTACTCTAATTTTAAATATTAAAATTTCATTTTCTCAATTAAACAACATGTTTAATTTTTATAAACAATAAAAATATAAAATTATATTGCTTTTATTATTTCATTCATAATCAAATTCTATAGAAAAAAAATTTAAGAAATAATAATTTTAATTAGATTTTTTTTAAAAAAAATATTTTCACTACAACTAATTTGATGTAAATGATCATCGGAGAGTTGAAATGGTTAATAATAATTTCTCTTGTAAATGGAATATTCATACTGGATCACTGGATATTCAGTTATGCATAGATTTGCAGAAAAAAAATTACCAATTATTGATATGTCATGAGGACAGCCTACCTATTTCACTATTGATAACTAATCGATACAACAAGACCTTATGATACTTCGATTACAATATTATACAAACAAACAAATAAATGTTTTTCATTCGCCTAATTGTGCATCAGATGAATGATCAAAATAGATTTAATAAAGAAAAAATTAAAAATTTACAAGTATATATGGTTGTTTTGTAATCATGAAGTAAAATACTTTCTTATCGCTAGAAAACTAAAGGGTTGAAAAAAGTAAAATTGATATTTGCAGTCAGAATAATCTTACAGTTTAACATAGTTGCTACATACCAAATAAAGTAATAAGAACAGATATAGCGGTAATTTTAAAGAGGTTCTGAAATTCAAAACAACTGTCAACCAGCACCAAAGTCAAAATTTTCAATACAAATTGCAAAACTGTTCTGTTGTATGCAGTGGAAAATCAGAGAACTACGAAAACCATCATCCATAGGATAGAGGTATTTATTAACAATTGTCTATGTAAGACAGTGACCAGACACCATCAGCCATAACCTTCTGTGAGACAGAAAAAACCAAACTGCAGCTAAGGAAGAGATTAGGAAAAAGAGATGGAGGTGGACAGGAAATACATTTCGGAGACCACTCAACAACTGCAACATAAGGCAAGCCCTAACTAGGATTCTTCGAGGCCAAGAGAAACGAGGAAGGTTAACGAACACCTTGCTCCGATAATCGGAGTTGGACATCAACAGAATGAATAGCACTTGGAAATGACAGGAAAGGAGAGCGTGGGACAGAATTGGTTGAAGATTACCGGTCGTTGGTCTATACTCCACGAGGGCTAATAGGATTATGTAAGTTAGTTAGTTAGTTAGTTGGTTAATTGGTGTTACAGATGGGACCACGATCCTGCAATATTCACTTCAAACGCTAACCTGCCATCTAGTGGAGTGAAATATAATGGATTTTGAGCTTACATTTTCCTATCAAAACTTAGATGTCAATCAGTTGGCGCTTTTATGGTTTATTCTGTCAAGCCACAGTCCATTTAATCTAAAAACAAGACGTTTTTTTATCACGGTGTAAAACAATAAACCATTCTTCTAAAGTTCTTAATAATATCCCTATTTTTTTTCATCTAGTATATTATTAAGAATAACTTACCTCCCAAACCTGGTGCTGGTATCGTATGATCGTATGGGTAACCATTTTCATCAGCGAAAACAGTTGTCACATCGTATAAAGCGTCAAGACAATCATGCATTTGGTTTAATATCAATTGCAAACCTTTTCTTCTTGGGACCAAAACATGTTTGAACGGTTTGATACCAGCTTTTTTTTCAAAAAAAAAAATGAAAAATTCAAATAAAAATGAACAGATTTAATAACAATGTCATTGTCTATTCGAAAAGTAATACTATTAAATAGATCAGTCAAATGAAAATTTCAAACACTATAAAAACCTGTGTACAATATTAGATTATAACTATTTCATTCATGGTGTTATTGTTACTTAAAAGATTGAATTTTCTATGAGTAAATATGTTTTACACAAAATTACATAAACAATTTATTTTGGCAACAAATAATTATTTTATTTTATGAATTCGTTATTGTGAAAGTAATTTTTTGTTATGCATAACTGGAAAACTGTTTAAAATTATTGACTAATGTATATGTCATTAATTGTATAACTATGGTACAATCACATGTAATTTGATTGTGTTTAAATAGAGAGAGTGAGAGAGACTTAACGATAAAACAGATAATTTGTTGTATGAAGAAAACGTTAAAAGTGAGTACAAATTTATGTGAAATTGTTACGCATACACGTAAACACGTCGGCTGATATGGTTGAGTAGAAGAAGACTTGATATGAAGTAGAACATGTATTTTACAAGCATCCAGAAAGTACGAGGTCCGAGTCCAGAAGAGGATAAGGACCCCGGACTAAGGATCCGGGTCATAAAACGTTACAGATAATGCGTAATTTCTACAGTTAGGTCGAATAGGAAACAACATTTGAAGTGTCATTGATAGTCCGTATGACCAACGGGAAACAACATTGAAGTACGTGACATTGATAGCTAGGACGACCGTAATATTGACCTGTAGGAATTGACCAATCGAATTAGACTAACAAACAATTATCTTAGGATATTGAATGGATATGCTAACAGTAAGTCTGTGTAAGGCTAATTTAGAAAAAAAATTATAGGATTTTATTATAACATTCACTACAAATAAAATTGTATTTGATAAAATGAGAATATATATATATATATATATATATATAGTGACAGTGTCACATAGTAATTTACAATATGAGATCAGTGTGAATGAAATAAAAATAAAAGTAATAAAAAGTGTGGCTTTTTTTAAACAATTTCGAAAAAATTTCGATAATACCATGAAAATATCAATATTATGCGAACTAAATGTGCTATAATGATTGGTGTATGTAATACATATCTGAAGTAATTTGATCTTTTTCTACGAAACACAAAGTTAAATTATTGTACAAGTGAAACATGAGAGAAAAACAAATACACTAAAGAAAAACATTGAGATATACACCATTTTATCATAAAACAATATTACCAGGATAAATTTAATGAGAGTAGAAAGTGTTTTCCAACATAGAACAGGGTTTCGCACTTCAACAAATCAGAGTTATCATCTCAGACACTTGTTCTATAAAGGCTGAGTTAAAATCAGTCTTTTGACTTGTTTCAATTAAGTGTTTGGCGATGGAGTTGGATGCGTGTTCATCATCTGTTGTCATTAGATCAATTTATTGTATTTGTTTCTGCAGTCATTTTGGAACATGTTCAAAAACCCTAAATTGTAAATCACAGGTAAAATAGTAACTGGTGGAAAAAAATTTCAAAAAGCCCACTTTTTACCAAAGTTTGTATCAACGATGCTGTCCAGGGAGAAAATCAAAGAAGCATGATTGAATCACTCAGCTTGAAGAACACATGAACGCACTGATAGTAATGTGGTTTTAGATTCAAACGATTTGCATAGTTAAACCAAAAAGAAATTTTCCAATAAGTCAATATGTAAACTACAAATTAACAAACGTTTTTCATGATAATAACTATGAAATAAGTGTTGGACAGTTGTTTCTATCATAATTAAAAGAAAGCCCACATTTCTCTCATGCTTAAATGTGTTTAGGTGATTAGATCTTCAGAGATGTTAAATTTCCTATTATGCATGTAATTAATTGTAAAAATCATGCATCCGTAAAAATCAGTATATTGTCTTATCGATGAGTACAAATCAAAGATTTTTGAATTAATATTCTCATTTCATCTGTCGATCAGTAGAATTCTGCAGTTATTTATGAATAAATTATTATTTAAGTAAACATTATATAATCAAGATAATCTAGCCCGACAGTAGCTGCTACCTTGACGTGGTGGTCGGGCTTGCCTATCGTGATGACCCAACCGAGCTATACTGGCTGGAACACATGTTCCTGCAGGTCCTACCATGCCAGGCAGGTCGATTGGAGAACGATGAGACTAAAAGCAGCTACCCAAGGTCTGAGGGCGAAGTCGTACTGCTGACTGCAGAGGGGTGTGACAGCAGTAAGGTGTTTCCCTCGGACAACCAGCATCTGCAGCGATGCTGCCTTCTCACAAGGAAGGAAGGGTTAGAAAAGGTCGACCCTAAAAATGTTACACCTCATCCTACCTCACTAAGCCCAATAAGGGCTTTCAAGAGCGGAGCTAATACTGAAAAAACCTTTCATAAAAATGCCGTGAGTGACCGGCCTCAAGCAGTTGTTCCTTGGACTCTGCGATCGCGCTCCGAGGTATCTGAAACGAACACTAATCTATCCTCCTTTTCAGGTTCCTCAAGAAACAACCTTCCATGGTGTGTGCAGCCGTCAAGTGACAACCGCCCTCATACCCGTAACAGTGCACGAGACCAAATTGGTCAAAATCAAATCCTTCCTACACCACTTACTACCTATCTTATCTCCACGACTAACTCTTCTCACATTCCTTTATCACAGTGCACAGCTAATGCAAACGATGCGAGTTCACGGAACGCCATTTCTGGTCTCCTGAAACCCCGTTGTAGACTACATGTTGGAGCTTTTAATGTACGGACATTGTGTCAAATAGGGCAACAGGCTTCATTAGCTAGGACTTTAGAATCTCGTGCCATCGATGTATGCCGCGTCTCGGAAACGCGCATACAGGATCCTAGTAAAATTATTAATTTGATTTTACCTTGTCAAAATAAAGAAGCAGCTTGATTTACTCTTCGTGTATCTGGAAGCCCTTATGCTGCTTCCCGGGGTCTTGCTGGTGTAGGCATAGCATTGAGTCGTAGAGCTGGACAATCTCTCCTTGACTGACAAGATAATCTAGAATGAGACGATAATGATAATCATGTATCCTGTTTAAAAAAAAATTTATTCCAAGACAAACAATGCACAAAGGAATGATAGTTGAGAAGAAAAAGAAAACAATACATTTGGTTAAATGTAGCGGTGACGTAACAAGAGACTTTGAAACTGACTAGTTAGAGTAAGACAAGAGTTTCATAGTAGATTGTAAATTGATCTAGTGATAATGAATGACCAAGAATCGTTGGTTAGTTAGTGTCTTCCGAAACTAACAATATCAATGTCTAATGAATAACAAAAGTACTAGTCTCTACAATTTGATTGCCTCACATATATTTCAAAGTTTTTTCAATATAATTCAAGTTAGTTATGAAATTCTTGAACATATACATCATTGCAGTTATCACATGAATATTTGTTTTCATCTATACTGTAATGAACGTTTTGTAAACTTTTTAACATATGTATATATATATCACTGATTACAGACAAAAATTATTTATCAAGTTATTAAATGAATAAGTAATACTAAATATAGTAGGTTGTATGCATAGTCACCTTTTTGTTATTGATTTTACTACAAACAATACATTAAAATAATGGTTGATTTAAATAAATTCGAAACATTCGACGATTAGTTATGTTGTTATTGTAAGTAGTGTGTCGTGTCACAGAAGTAAAAGTGATCAGGAATATAATTAGTTATAGAGATGCAAGAAAATCATATGTGGCAAACAACTGACCATTGATTTCAAAGTATTCTGTTCGTAGTGTGTCTAACATTCAAAATGATTAATTGTTGGAGAGAAATCGGTTGAGCTGGAGCTTACAATTATTGGACAATAGACTATTAAATAAGGTTTAATACAAATAGTCACTCATTACCAAGAGATATCTGTCTGAAGAAACTAATAGTCGCTATGTATCAAGTCTTACTGATAAGGATCGTTTCCGGAGAATTAGACTTATTTATTGTTCACAAGCGCTAACCAAGTACACGACGTCTCCTGAATCTCCTTCAACCATCAACTTACGCTAGAGTATAGTGCAGCCCCCCTAGTAGTAGTTACATTAGGACTGGATAGATAAAATGTGATCAGCACTTAGAGGCTAGAGAAATAATATTATATTATTATATTATATATTATATATGACATATATATATATAATATATATATTATATATTATATTATATATTAATATTATGATTAAACACTATCACAATATATTAATATGAAAAAATATGGGAAAATAAGTTATTTTCTCAATTATGTTTGGTTTATTCTTATTACCTTTTTCGCCGGGATTTGATTAATTACGAATAGTTTGTTGAATGTATAACATTTTTTCGAAAACTTCCTCAGACATAAAACATTTAACATCAGTACTAAGTGGCTTTGTAACTACTTTATCATTATTTTGATCAAACCATTTTAATATTTTGTCAATCATTTCTCTCAGTAGTATTATGTCGGTGCCCTTCTAAGGTTACTGACGGTTTCGAGTCCGGATAAAGAAAGAGGGTTGAACATAGGAGTTAGTGACCTCATCTCGTAGAAAACTAACTGGCTCAAGAAAATCACAAACCAGAAAAAAAATTGTAAATTATTTAACCGTAGTAACTAAAAAAATACACATTCATTCATAAGTTGGTTGGCTAAATTTAACATACGGGTTGAAATCTGTTGATTAATTTTCATGAACACTCACAGTAATTGTTGAAATGTTTCAGTCATTATTTTCGTATTATATAGTTTAACTATGGATTATTATTTTTTTTTTTTTGTTTAGCAATGGATATTAATTATTACTTGACAATAAATCATAACAACAACAAATAATTTAGTAGTCATTACTTTGTAAACAAACTGTTTGTTCAACAGTAATCTATTCATTCCACCTTCAATATATGATAGGCACTTATCTAAATATGTTGAAATAATGAAATAGATTTTTCGTAGTTCATTTGATAGTAGTATCATGTTCATGGAGTTAAAGAGTTTAATTATAAAATCGTTACTGTTGTTATGAATATAGTATTACAGATATTTTACAGGCATGTCTGTGTTATAGTTCCTATTCCATCGGTGTAAGACACTGTAATTTATTTACTTTCTGTGTATGTATGAATAGAACTGAATGCTAATTGTTCAAGAGTGATATTCTTGCAATGTTCTGGATTCACGAATGTATCCATCTATACCATCAATCGTCAACGAGGAAAAAAAAGGGTAATCACCAGGAGCACTAGGAAAGAAAACGAAAGCAATGTGTCATTTGCCTAGTCATCTCAACGACTGAATTACCATTTATGAAATAATTAAAAATGCTTACTTCCACTTTAATGAAAATAAAAGATCAACACATTTAAATGAACATGTACTAGCGCACATAGATAAACCTTTTTATCTTCTTCAATAACACCTTGAATAGGATCAATCTGATGAATAATTATGATGACATTTTTATCATTAAAGTAGATATTATCATGAAAACAGAGTAAGAATAAGTAAATCGCCACTAATTACCGAATTCACAAAGATTCGTGCTACCGAATGGCTAGATTAACAATACTGGACAATACCTAAAACCTGTGACACTACTTACTATAACATTAAGAAGGAAAGTTCTATCACATCAATCAGTTTGTATGAGCTAGTCGTAAAGATTATTGGCTGTTAAACACTGTATAATGACTACTTTAGAAATTAAAATGAAACATATCGTTAAATAGAATTTAAATTATTTACATTCATTAATTATATTCGCGTGCTGAATGAATAGAGAATATGATTTATTTGGATTTTTTTGATAATCCGATTTTTTTTATTATGATATAAAATTTGTACGATTGAATAATGAGTAAAATGAAAACAGTCTTTAAATTTGTTCAAACAGTTCAAACTAATTCAAACAGTTAAATTTTATCCTGCATGTTTCTATGTGAGGATCAATAATTAACGTTTACTGGGGATTCTAATACCTTGTTGTATATCAAAATTTTTGTCTTTTGGACTAGCAAGATGTTGATGAGATTCCTATGAATAGCATTATAATAGTCAAAATGGTATGTCTTGATAAGAATATAATTTTACGATTGGTATATTCTAATGAGAACGGTTCTATTGATGACTTAATAGCAGTGATTGGCACATGGTACTTGAACAATTCGCCTCTCATACAAGAAAAAGACCAAGTTCAGGAAAAATTCAATATTCAAGTAGAACAACTGGAAATGGTATAACTTCTTATGAACTCCAAGCCAATAGAAAATAAGCAAGCGAATACTTGTAGCAACCAATCAGATCAAGGTGAAAGTCATGCAACAAACAAATTGAACCAGTAGAAAAATATTATAAAAAATGCTAAAATTCTGAAAAGAAAGTTTAATAAAAATCTTGTGACCACCTTAGCCCAAACCTAAAAATATTATATTGTAAATTTAAGGCATTTTTCAAAGATGTTTACTGATTAAATGTACGTCACAGACGATAGTACATTATCTGAGTTACTAAAAATGCACTAATCGATGAGCTAACTGATAACAAGTCGATAAACTAATTTTTTTCAATTAATTGTGAAAAAAATTCAATTTCTATTTTTATTTGTATACTGAATAAACTTATTTATTAAATTTGGTTACACTCAGACACTTAGCCATTGTTGTTATAATTAAATTGCAATTACCTTTACACAGACACTATCAGCAACACCCTACTGTGGGATAGAACAAACCAGACTCTAGCACACGAAGAAATCAGGAAAGAGTGGTACAGGTGGATAGGACGCGCATTGAGTAAAACACGCCACTGCTTCTCAAAACAAGTCAACGCAAAAGAGGAAGACCAAAACAAACACATTACGCTGAGAATCGGAGACGAACATGAAAAGAAAGAATAGCGATTGGACGGAGCTTGAAGAGAGGACTCAGAGCAGAGTAGGTTGCAGAATGGTGGTCGGTGGCCTATGCGCCATTGAGGGTAACAGGCATAAGTAAGTAAATAAGTAATATATACACTACACAAATTGTTCGTATAAAAAACTTCAACCGACTGTCTTGAAGCATTATAGTCAATAAAGATTAGAAACTAAGGAATATTTTTGAGGTATTCATAAAACACGATAGAATTACGGTAAAAATACTCGACTTTTGAGTGAGCATAATTCACATAGCTTCTCTAGATTAAAAAATCTATTTTTTCAATGTCTTTTAATTACTGACTTTAAAAAAAAACCGTGTTCAGTTTGATCATTATTATCCGCCGATGACTAATTGATCAATGTACAGTTTGTTGATTAGATTAGTGAGCTCTAGAATACACATTCAATGCACTTGAGAAAATCGCATAAACTATGAGACTTTGATATCTAAACAATAATAATTTCAGTAGCAAAATACTACTAATTGTAGAGCTTAATAAATATGACTTCGAATTAAAATATTAATATATTAACAACTTATTTGTTATTACAATTACTGATGTTAATAATTATGATTCAGGTGATAATAATGATGATAATAGGCATTTCAATAAATCATTACGGGTGTTATATAAATTAAACATGAATGTTTTTTTTTTGTTGAAGTATTTACAGTTAATTTTCTTTTTTACATTAAGCTATTCCAATTCAAAATTTATTTGATTTTCACATTTTCCTTTAACAGCATACTTGTGCAGAATGCCAGTTGAAGAGAGTGAACACAGTCTTTGAATGAAATTACTAATACAGACAATATTACATTACTTTGATGGTTCTGGTGAACATGTAGATTGAGTTAATTTATCAGAGTTGTCTATCGATGATACTGGCTGATGATTACATTGAAGTATGCAACTTAACTGAAATTGTAATCTGTCAGGAAGTGGAAAACGATCGAACAAGTGATTTATATTATGGTTATCGTAAAACCTTATGTCTTTGAATACGAGATCAAAGTGGGAAAATTATTGCAACGAACAAAAACTGCCTCTTACCTCTTGGTTTTCAACTGTTCTCAAGTTGATGGACACTACTTTTAATTGATTTAAGTATTTCAGTTAGGTTGAAGGTGTTTTTTGTCGAAATTAATTTAATTCGCAGTTTGCATTCGTCACAGATTGATCTTAGTTGAAAGTACTACTGGAATTCAGAAGACTCTAGACAGCGAAATAAGAAGTTACTGGGTTTAGCCACCAGGGGATTTTGAGTTTACACTTCTGACCTACATAGGATGAAACGTCCGTCACTTGTTTTCAGTGGTATTAAAAAATGAGATCGATTTGTGCTGAATACAAACTACGAATCAAGCACTTTTCGAATCACGATATTCGTATTTTTTGGAAAATACAAAAATAAGCAGGTTTTATGAAAGGAAAATTAAAGTGACTATTTGAAAACAACCTTTCATCCAAATGATAAATTTACTTTTTAAAATGCTAAATTGAACAATGAACCAGTGTCATGAATATTTACGTTGTAGCATCTGTATATAGTGATGCGTAATAAAAGTTTGAGTCATTAGAAAATTATAAAATCTCATCAATGTTTAAAATACATGTATGATGCAAAATAAGGAAAGAGATTTTTAAAAATTTTCATTTGCATTACGGGGTTGTGAAGATTGTTAAGTTATACATTTTTGAAACCATGATACGATCAATGCTAGACCACCATTAGAAACCTGGAAGCACTGAACGACCGTTTCGTCCTGGTATGGGACTCCTCAGCAGTGCGCATCCATGACTCCTGCACCCCGCAGGATTTGAACCAAGGAACTTCGGTATTGTAGGCGAACGCCTAACCATCGGACCACTGAGCCGGTATCTAATGGTGTTAATATCTAACTTCGATCAATTCACAGAGTTGCGCAACCTCAAACACAGTCTTAGGTAGTTACTGTCTACACTCGAACAGGTTGAACTTCACTGGTCACGTCTTCCCACTAGAACTCGAAGAAAATTCCTCACGAAGCTAGTCACTAGTGAGCACAGGTAATTTGGTATACCGAGGGTGCTGGGTTCGAATCCTACGGGGTGCAGGAGTCGTGGATGCGCACTGCTGAGGAGTCCCATACCAGGACGAAACGGCCGTCCAGTGCTTCCAGGTTTCTAATAGTGGTCTAACATTGATCGATTCATGGTTTCAAAAATTTTATTTCACCAAATAGTATGTTTTTATCATTTTCTTTATAACAAAGTTTAAAGCATTAAGGAAAAATATTATGTAATTCCACAACATGATTGTGTATTTTACCTTTTTCAATGGCAAATTTTTGTGACTGTTCAATCACATCATGTTTCCATGGATTGTATCTAGTGCCTTCAGGGTAAATAACCATCCAAGTCTGTGTATTAAACAGAAAAAAAACAAATAAATGGGTCAAACAAAATTCAACTATAAAATTGGATTAAGTGATTATAACAGCAATTAACAAACCTAAATTATATGCGTAAAATGTTGTGAAATAACTTGAAACATTATTTTAAACAAACTTCAAGTTTGATAATATTTAAAAAAAAGGGTTTTTGTTGACCGACTGTTACATTTTTGGTTGATAATGATTAACAATGATTAATGATTGGTAGCCATGATGCAGAACATATTAATTTCTTACATCTGAATGTGTATAGCTTAACTTTGTAATCAATAGTATTACATTTCGAATATTTTGTTCACATTTCAGTGATATAGAATTCGATATACAGATCTAACTTGAAAATAGTACAATGTTCTAGTGTCTCATAGTAAGTGTTATATATACAAATGGGAAGATAAACTGAGTAAACAAATGATTCACTTAACCACAGTAAGTCCACAGGTATTCCAATAAGAACCAATCTGTCTAAACAGCTTTCAATATAGTCATGTTTTTCTTTATCTCGTGTGTATTTTCACTAATTATATGTTTAAGATTTTACATATTTACTGATTTGGGAAAACAAATTCAAAAATATTTTCCATATTTCAAAATTATGGTTTGACTTCTACATTTATGCAGGTACATTATTTAAAGAGCATGAAGCATGATTGTGAATTAATTAACTATTTAATCATGCAACTACCAAATAATTTTTTGATGCCGTATCATATATTTCATGCGGAAACAACTAAACAAATCTCCTTCACGAATCACTGCTCAATCATCAATTAGTTGTAAATATCTCAGTTCCAATAAGAGGTCAGTCACAACCCGAATAGTTCAGTAGTAGCGTCTCTGATCGACGGAATAAGATACACCAGAGAGTATTAATTCTCTCATGAACACAAGTAAATCTTGAAGATGAGAACCAAATACCGTGAAACGTAGATCGATTTGTGTCAATTACTTTCAAATACTTAACAACTCACTGTCAAGTCACTTAGTAGACGAGTGATCAATTTTTTTTTTATAATGACAGCATTTTCTTATTAGCAATAAGTTTTATACACATTAGAATGATAATTTTAATAAGTACAAACAAAACAAACCATATAAAATGCTCGTGAAATATTTAAAACATTTTTGTTTTTGCTTTATTAAAAGATGAATGAACATTATTCGTTTAATTTTATCATAAATCGAATTAAATTATTATTATTTTAAACACAACAATGAAATGTAGTTATCCACGTTGAAAAATGTTTCTTATTTTAAAACATTATTACACAGTAAACTAAATTTATCAATGATAAATGAAATGTAAATTAAGATTATGGGAAATTTGAAAATCATCAAATATGCGCATTTATGGAATATATATATATATATATACATGCATAGTTGATCATTTCAAAGAAATTGATTATTGAATGGATTGTTAATAATGATAAATTTAATTATATATGTAGAATATATCAATCACAATTAGTAGAAAAGTTAATCTGACATTTTTTCTGACTCAATGTGTAGGTTACTTACTTCTTCAGAGAATTCGTTTAGACTTATTTGTAGATTTCATAACTATTAAAAGCCATTATGACAAAGAATGCATCATAAATTTATGAAATAATTCAGGTAAATAAGTTGATTAACTGCATAATTTGTTAAAAAAATTTCTCTTATTTACATTTCGATTTACGTGATGAGAATCATTGAAACAATCATATAACCTCATCCACGTATATTATTAGAACACAAAGAAATAAGTATTTTATCTATCCTTATTCATAGAAAAGAATCTAGTTGGTTGGATATGTAATTTACTTGTTCCAGTGAGTTTCATTTTACTATCCTGCATTACAAAATTTATGATTCAGACAACAATAAGAAATTATTGATTGATGAGACAGGAATTTAATGAAAATTCGACTAAGCAGATATTATCTTAAAACTGTTCGAAACGAATTAGAATATCACATTTATTATAGCAGCCTTAGTAGTAGAAGTGGTAGTATTGCAATAGATTTCAATGAATTGAATCCAAAAGAGATGTTTTTTTAAGCGTGAGTAATTAAATTTATCCATTTTATTGCAATTCCTACTATTAAAAAGCGATTAATATATCGACAAGATATAAGCATGAACAAAAAGTACGTTGCACTGGAGGTGGCTGCATCATACTCGAAGTTGGGTTCAGCAATTTTTGTGACAATCGGTATTCGATGTAATTCCTTAGACTTCGCACACTACGCGTCATGATAACTGTTACTAGATAACGCCCACCGGTGTATAAATTAGAAAAAGAATGAGAAGCGCTGAGGACGTTTATAATAGCATTACAAACAGATCACAAAATTCACAGGCACACGAAGCGAAATTGATGTACGAGCAAAGAAGAACAAGCGAGGGAGCGAGCAAGAGTGAGCTAACGAATGTGTAAGCAAACAAGTTAGTGAATAGGATTAAAATGTACATGCATACATATACTTGGGAAAATGAATGAGTCATCAAATTACTTAAGAGATTAACATTAGGGCAAATAGAACGAATGTGTACATAGGTGGTAAGTAGTTCTCAAGCCTAAATGCTCATATAAGCACGACAATAATATAAAATCACAATGATATAGATGTACGAATGACTCAATTTGTTAAATAAGTTAAAAAGGGCTTAACCAAATTAAATATGAACGCACTTAAATGTATGTCAGGTACTCCATTGGGGTTTCCGTAATGGTAATTAATAAATAGCAATAAAACCAAAAAGGATACCTTCCCACTGTTAAATTGAAACTCTAATGCTTAAAATTTATTTTATGAATAATTCATGAAAATCCCTAGACTGCAAGTCAAAACAACAATGAAAAACACTTTTCAATAGTTTTGATAAATATTCAATTACTTTATTGGTTCAATGATCTTATTATATTAGTTAACTACTAATGAAAACAATATATTTAAACGTATATAATAGTGTTTTCAAATAGATATTCATCAGGTTTCACCGGAAAAATGCATTATTATTTGTATGAAGATATAAAGACAATCAAAAGGCAATTTATAATCTGTCTCAATTAACACAATATAACCTATACACAACATTCAACATCGTTATCATTCCGGTTAATCAATAGTAATATTAATCGTTTGGAATAGTTTATTAATTACTGAGATGATTCTTTATTATGTATATGATTACTGGATTGATTAACTGCACTAATTCAATTAGTTCATTTCACTGACATTACAGAGATACATAAATTGCGTTGATGAGTTTAGTACTCCTTTCTTTTGCATGTACACATGTGAAGATTGTCAGGTATTAGAATGGACCTTGATACTAATGTAACCAGAAGTAATATGACGATGATTTCAAATGTGTAAAAACACTAATCTCCATAACTTTAATAGAAATAATATTGTCTGCCTACATCTGTTGTTGTTTTAGTTTAACAAAGTGGTAATATTTAAATATTTCGAATAGAATACAGTTATCCATCATTTGATCAGCTTGTGCAATCACTTTCGCTGATATGCCTTCTTATTTAAATTGGTTTTCTTTGTTTTCAATTATGTTATTTTAAATATTTAGATTTTAAAAAGTTTAAACTAAATTTTTTTAAAGTTGTATTCACATTAAACAGGTGACTATCGAAGTAGATTTGCATGGGTTTATAATTTCTCTTAATTGATAGTTAATAGATTAGATGATAAATCTAAATGATGTTATGTGTGTCCATTTTGATCTCATTACCTCGATATGAAAGCATTCAGTATTTGAATCAAAAGTGATTGAGTTGATGTTTCAGAATGAAGATTACATTTAGGGCACAAGTTCATCCAACTGAAAAGTCTCAAAAAGGATAATACACAACTGACAATGATTACACTACCTTTCTAATTAAAAAATTCACATTACCATCATTTACTAAATAATTATGTCGTTGGTTTTGCCTGTTGAGTGAACTTTTTCATCGTACTATCAATTCAGATAATAGATAATTTTTTTTCATTTGTATTAACTACAAAGTTCACACATGTATGCGAACAAATAAATAGATTTTTCAATGAAATTATGATTTAATCTAATGAATTTTATTATTATTTCAATTATTATTATTATTATTATTATTGAAATGTTTAAATGTCAGTAAGATCTGGATATTGTTTCTTGTTATTTTACTTGTAGTCTTTGAAAAACCGGTACTATTATTTACTTGTATACACATACATACTTAGATGGTTAGTTATACTCATTTCATGCTGATAAAAAAATTATTAATCATAAAGACTTGATCTTTTTTAAGTGTACAAAATTTACGGTAGTTTCATTCATTTAAAACTCAAAGGCTTCAATAAAAAAGAAACAACTTTGATATTACACAATAAAGTAATCTTCCTTCTTTTCATATTAAAAGCAATCCACCTTCAAGTTTTATACTATTAAGTACATTCCTATGTAGGACCTGATTAAATATTTTGAAAATGTGATAAACACATGAAAGCAGCCATAATATGAACAGTACAGTTTTAACATAACATAAGCTATTTCATTGTAGATTTACTTTAGAAAGTCGAATAAGTAATGTTCTACTCAGTATGAGTTTTTTGAGAATTATTCAGTTTTATTAAGATTGTCTAATATTTTGCATGGATTGAAGTTAAAGTATACATCATTGAGTCTCTCAATTATAGACTTGTAGATCTGAACTGATGAAAAAACTCATATTAGGACGAAACAATATTCCAGTTAGTCCTCTATCTTGTATCAATTCGTGACCTTAATACTTGTCGCCTGTTTTCTTCTTTGGATTCTCCATAACTTAAGTGTAAGTTATGCAAAGTACATAACTTTGACATTCCTCTATAACTTGGTAGTATTTGTCAGCAATTATCATATTAGTAACCATACATTACAGATTTAGTTTAGACTTATCAGAAAACTTCTGCTGACTTTTACATCTTATTTCAATAATCCTATTAAAG